GTGTGTGTGTGTGTGTGTGTGTGTGTGTGTGTGTGTGTGTGTGTGTGTGTGTGTGTGTGTGTGTGTGTGTGTGTGTGTGTGTGTGTGTGTGTGTGTGTGTGTGTGTGTGTGTGTGTGTGTGTGTGTGTGTGTGTGTGTGTGTGTGTGTGTGTGTGTGTGTGTGTGTGTGTGTTGTGTGTGTGTGTGTGTGTGTGTGTGTGTGTGTGTGTGTGTGTGTGTGTGTGTGTGTGTGTGTGTGTGTGTGTGTGTGTGTGTGTGTGTGTGTGTGTGTGTGTGTGTGTGTGTGTGTGTGTGTGTGTGTGTGTGTGTGTGTGTGTGTGTGTGTGTGTGTGTGTGTGTGTGTGTGTATGTGTGTGTGTGTGTGTGTGTGTGTGTCTGTGTCTGTGTCCGCGTGCGCGCGTGTGCATGTGTGTGTGTGCGTGTGTGTGCGTGTGTGTGTGCGTGTGTGTGTGTGTGTGTTTGTGTGTGTGTGTGTATGTGTGTGTGTGTGTGTGTGTGTCTGTGTGTGTGTGTGTGTGTGTGTTTGTGTGTGTGTGTGCGTGCGTGCGTACGTGCGTGCGTGCGTGCGTGTGTGTGTGTGTGTGCGCGTGCGCGCGTGTGCATGTGTGTGTGTGTGTATGTTGTGTGTGTGTGCCTATGTGTGTGTGCGCGTGCGTGCGTGTGTGTGTGTGTGTATGTGCGTGCGTGCGTGCATGCGTGCGTGCGTGCGTGTGTGTGTGTGTTTGTGTGTGTGTGTGTGTGTGTGTGTGTTTTTGTGTTTGTGTGTGTGTATGTGTATGTGTGTGTGTATGCGTGCGTGTGTGCGTGTGTGCGTCTGTGTGTGTATGTGTGCGCGCGCGCGGGCGCGCGCCTTTTGTTGCATGTTGATACAATGTAGTCATTAAGAATCATGTGCAAATGAACCAGACCTACAATTATAAATCATGCTACGACTATGAAATATCCATATAGTTCCTCAATTGTGAGGGTGAGTGTCAGGGCCTCAAATTCATTTTGGGGCACGCTTTTTCGTCAGTGTTGGTCCTAAAAAACCCTGAAAATCAGGGTACAAAGAAAAAATCAGGGTAAAATCCCTGAAATCTGAGGGCCTGGTGAGTGTGCTGTGCATGAGCAAACTGGTGTTAAGAGCCAAGAAGAAATGCTGGGAATATACATTTCAGCAATTTCTTGGCAGGAGTACAAGCATAGGTCGTACTCTTTCTTTGGTTACTCGTCAAACTGAGTGTATAATCCGTCACATCTGAAGCCCTCCAAAGTTGCACACCCCTTGCTTGGCAATCATCAGAAAGTGAAGGCACATTTCCGACTAACTTCAACATTCTTTTGTATCACGAGTGTAGTGCTGAACATTGTACCAGCCAATACTGTAGTACCACAATAAAGGAAAGAAAATGAAATAAAAAGGCAGTTACAGCGTCAACAAGAATCGGAGGCGGTACTAAAGAATAGTATTGTAGCCAGGCCCCTAGATTCGTTCTGAGGCACGCTGATCGATCAGCGTGCACCCTTGTTGGAACTCGTGGCCCCAATTTTTTAGGCTGAAAATTCAGACAACACAAAGTTTTTGGGCTGACCTTTCAGTGTGAGCTATAAATCTTAAGCTGATCATGCATTAGAACATCTCACATTTTTTAGTCTGAGTCTGAGTTGGGAGCTTCTACAGGAGCACTCTCAATCACCTACACCTCAACTACAGGAGCGCGACTATGCGATGCCGCGCGGGGGAAAATCCAATTTCCCGCTCATAATTGATGGTAGTCCTACACTTTGCCAGGCTGGCGGAATCCCTGTAATGCCGGTTTCAGTGCGCACCCCCTATTCAAGGCTGAGGGCACAGCCTTTACTCCTACAAAAAGGCTGAAAATTCAGCTAAGGTTAATAAAAAAACACTAAAAATCAGCCAAGGTACGCAACAAAAAAACTTTGGATTTAGCCTAACCCCCCAAAAAGAGCCTGACCTAACGCTGAATCAGTGTAAAAAGACTGATACCTAGGGCACTGGTTGTAGCTCAGAAAGGCTGTATTGGTAATTACTTTGGAAAATCGAAGTAATATGATGTTGGAGAAGAATCGTACTGTCAATGAATTATTCACGGATTCTTGTACAGCACGTCAAGCTTCAATCAAACGAATTATATACAACAGGACAAACGGTAAAGTGGAAAAGCCACTTTCCTTTACTGCATCCGGGAGTTAGAGCTGATCAAACGTGCAATCCAGCACTGGTAGTTAACCTCACTTCACTCCACTCACCCATGCCAATGCCTTACCCTCACCACCCCTTCCCATCTTGTCTACATTCTCCTCTCCTCTTTCCCTTCCACTTCCGCGTTTTGCCCTTCTCAATGTCAGCCTCTGTTACACGGTTACTTGATGCTCCAAGCAAAAGACTAAGAGGAACAAGAGCAGCTACCTAGCCAACCCTCCTTCGCCACCATTGGCGGGCCTTTTGAATGAGCGGGCTACAGGGCGAATCAAGGGGGAAGGTAGCGAAGGAGAATCAGGGGCTGGCTGAGGGAGGGAAGGGCTGGTGACTAGGGTGGGATGACTGGGCAAAAGGAGGGCAGGATAGGTGGAAAAGAGAGCATGGTTCACGGAATGGAAAGGAGGATTGGTGGGTAAAAGAACAGGGTTGATGGGAGAAGTTGGAGAAGAAAGAGGTGAGAACAAGTGGGCAAGGCTGTTTGCTGATGGATGGGCCCCCACTTGCAGTTGGTTCCAAGCCTGCCCTGCTGGTGAATGTGTATGCTGCTGCCGAAGCTGCTGCTGCTGTGATTGTTGCTGTTGCATTAGAGGTTGTAGCTGCAGCTGCTGAAGCTGAAGCTGGGACAATTGCTGTTGAGGTTGCTGCTGCTGCTGCTGCTGCTGCTGCTGCTTCTGCTGCTGCTGCTGCTGCTGCTGCTGCTGCTGCTGCTGCTGCTGCTGCTGCTGCTGCTGCTGCTGCTGCTGCTGCTGCTGCTGCTGCTGCTGCTGCTGCTGCTGCTGCTGCTGCTGCTGCTGCTGCTGCTGCTGCTGTTGCTGCTGCTTCTGCTGCTGTGACTGTTGCTGCTGCAAATGTTGGTATGCCTGCATCTGCAGCTGCACGAAGGGATCAACGGATCCCACCTGGCTGCTCCGCTGCTCTGCCATTCGTACCTGCTGTTGCTGCTGCTGTTGATATTGCTGCTGTTGATGCTGCAGCAGCTGCTGCTGCTGCTGCTGCTGCTGCTGCTGCTGCTGCTGCTGCTGCTGCTGCTGCTGCTGCTGCTGCTGCTGCTGCTGCTGCTGCTGCTGCTGCTGCTGCTGCTGCTGCTGCTGCTGCTGCTGCTGCTGCTGCTGCTGCTGCTGCTGCTGTTGCTGCTGCTGCTGTGGTTGTTGCTGTTGCTGTTGCTGCTGCTGCATTATTTGATTGAATATATACTGCTCTGCACTGCTGACGTGGCCATGCAAATTAGGTGCAGGCTGGTGCATGCTGCTGACGTGGCTGAGCCAGTTAGGAGCTCCTGATGGGGAGATCTGGCCAGCCAATGGAGGCACGAGAATGCTTCCCAGCACCAGCAAATGAGCAGGTGCCACGTGTCCCTGAGACACAGTCCCAGCTGCTACTGCTGAAGCTGGAATCATTGCAGAGGATGCTGCTGCTCCTGATACTACTCCTGATGATACTCCTGCTACTACTAATCCGCCATGCCCCCCCATTGTGGTTGTTAATGGAAATAACCCACCAGCTGCTGCTGCTGCTGATGTCCCGGCTACTGCTACTGCCGGTGCAGCTGCTGCTGCTGCGGCGGCGGCAGCGGCTGTTGCTGTTGCTGCTGTTGCTGTTGCTGCTGTTGCTGTTGCTGCTGCTGCTGCTGTTGCTGTTGTTGATGTAGTGGCTGCAGTAGTTCCAGCATCTGAGAGTGCCTCTTTAGGAGGATGGTGGCTCTGAAGGCGATATTTCTGCGTGTGGAAAAAGAGATAAGAAAGGTGACATCGGATGAGTTACCCCAGGGTGACATGGCGTTGTCTTAAAATGATGAAATAAAGAGAGATGCTGTTAAGGAGATAGAGGGGTGAAGCACAGTGCAAAGTGGTGGAGCAGGTATATCCATGGCTGGAAAGGACAGAGAAATCCATTACCTGCAAATGACTCTTGATCTCGTCGCTTGTTAAACAATCGACTTTCATTAGCTCCTTAATCTGCTTGGGTGTAGCCACTGTAATGAGGGGATAAGCGGGGGGGTCATGGGGAGGCGAGGAAAATGTTTGGGTGTAGCCACTGTGATGAAGAGTAAGAAACGGAAGCCCAGGGGGAAGAGATGAGAGAGTAGATCAACTGAGATGAGCAGGTAAATGAACTAATGACACAGAGAATCCTGCACTTTTGAGAATTCTAAAAAAAATCACTAAGTATCCTGCACATGTAAGAAGTGAGGATGCTGTATGTCACATGGATGGTAGTATGAACCAGTTACATGATGTGACAACGTCAAGAGGAGTCAGCATCACTAGAACGGGAGGCAAGGAGAAGGGGGATAACTGGAAGGTTCATACACGCACCGCAGCAGCCACCAAGCCTTTCTAATGCACCGAGAAAGGTGTGTATCAAATGTCTCAAAACACTCACCGTAGCAGCCACCGAGCATTTCTAGTGCGTCGAGAAATTGCTTGCGAATGTGAAAGCGATTTTGCTTTTATACGCCTCAAATCCTACTTTCATGTTTCCATGTGCACCATAGCAGCTACTGAACATAGCAGCCACTGCGCCTTTCCAGTGCATCCACCAATCGAGTTTCAAGTCGACTCAAAAGTAAACTCGGATTGTATACGCACCATAGCAGCCGCCGAGCTTTTCCAGTGCCTCCAGAAATCGCTTGTGGATGTCCGGCGACCAGGATCGCCGCTGCTTTCTCTTTGTGTGTTGGTGCAGCCTTCGTGAGCCACAATCCTTGTTACTGTGATGGCTCCCACTGTGACCCCTCCCACCACTGCCACTGCCACCAACACCACTTCTCCTGTGCCTGCCACTTCCACTTTCACTTCCCCTGCGCCTGCCACTGCCTCTTTCACTGCCCCCACCATTTAGCCCACTGCCGCTTCCACTATTACCACCATCATCGTCCCCACCACCATCGCCATCATCACTAGCATCACCACCCTCACTACCACCATCACCACCATTATCGTCAGCACCACCACCACCGCCACTGCCACTATCACTACCATTGTGGCCATCACTCTTTGCTTCGTTCACCTTCTCTCTGTCTTTGTCCCTTTTGTCAATATTCATTGCTTTCTCGCCTCCACTTTCTTTCTTCCTTTTGCCCTCACAGGACTTCCCTCTGTGACGCTCCCTTCCATGAGTAGGTACTGCTTTGGTGACGCTTTTAGCCGAATGTTTATGCTCGCATGGACTATTCCTCTCCCTTCCTCTGCTGCTACCTCCACCAGTAGTACCTTTTCCTTCTGAAACACTATCCCGCCTCTTCTGCTCATATGGACTATTCCTCTCCCTCCCTCTGCTGCTGCCGGAACCTGCTGCTACTGCTGCACCTGCTGCTGCTGCTGCTGCACCTGCCGCTGCTGCACCTGCTGCTGCGCCTGCTGCTGCTGCTGCTGCTGCGCCTGCTGCTGCTGCTGCTGCACCTGCTGCTGCGCCTGCTGCTGCTGCTGCACCTGCTGCTGCGCCTCCTGCTGCTGCACCTGCTGCAACTTTTCCTTCCGAAACACTCTCCCTCCGTTTCCCTGCTCCTGAGTCCCTTTCCCGTTTCCACTCCACCAAAACCTCATGTTGTTTCTCTGTGCGTGTATCTGACCCTGTGCAACCGCTGCTAGCTACTTTGCAAGTTGTGCCCACTTCTGTACCAACGTTTGCCTCAACACCTGATGGTATTCCTGCTGCAGCTCCGCCTGCTCCTTCTGCATTTGCTGCTGCTGCACCTGCTGTTGTGACTACTGCTGTACCTGCTGCTCCACCTGCTGCTTCACCTGCTGCTCCACCTGCTGCTTCACCTGTTGTTCCACCTGCTGCTTCACCAGTTGTTCCACCTGCTGCTTCACCTGCTGCTGTTGAACCGATTACTTCTGTACCTGATGCTGTTCCTGTTGCTGCAGCTGCTGCTCCTTTTGTACCCGCTTCTGCAGTTGTTGCTGCACCTGCTGCTGCCCCAACTGCTGCCCCACCTGCTGCCTCACTTTCTGCCGCACATGCTTCTGCTGCCTCACTTTCTGCCTCAACTTCCTTGTTCTCTCCTTCCAGCCCCTTTCCAATGAGTGAGGCAGCAGAAGCACCCACACCTCGCACCAGCCCCTTTTTTGGCCCTCCAAACTCGCCTTCTCTGCTACCTTGGTTTCTGAGTTGCCTAAAACATCCTGCTTTTGCTGCACATGCTTCTGCTGCTTCCATGCCCTCTCCTTCCAGGCCCTTTTTTTCCTCTCCAAACTCGCCATCTCTGCTACCTTGGTCACTCCTTGCGAGCCCTTTGTTATAGTCACCTCTGTTTGCATCACTGCCACACGAGGAGGAGAATGTCAGTGTGCGTTGCATGCCACCTGCTGTGGCTTCAAAAGGGGCTGCGGCAGGTGGGACAGGTGTATCTGTGACGGGATTTACGGCAGCAGCTGCAGCAGCAGCAGGGGTTGCAGCAGCAGCACTGGAGGGTGCAGCAGTAGAGGCCGAAGTGCTAGTCATGGCAATGTCAGCAGAAGCAGCAGGAGCAGGAGAAAAAATTGCAGCAGCACCAGCAGCACCAGCAGCAGAAGGGGGTGCAGCAGCAGCAGCAGGGGGTGCAGCATTAGTCATGGCAATGTCAGCAGCAGGAGCCACAGCAACGCTCCTAGTAGTGGCAGTTTCTGCTGCGCTCACAATACCTTCTGCTGGACTGTCCCTCACTCGAACCTCCCACAGGGCACCAAGCTCCCGACCCCACTCCCTCATCTCTCTTTGATGATTGTCACTCATTTTTGCTGCCCCGAATCTTTTCGCTTTGTTCCTTAGCTCCATTCTGTACCTTTTCTCTTCATCCTTCCCGTCCTCCTTCCTCTGCTCTTTCCCAGATTCCTTCCCAGAATTTTGCCCATCTGCCTTCTCATGCCATGCACTAGCCCTTTCCACTCTCCCCGGACTTGCCACCCATCCCTCCCTTTTCACCCCCTCCTCCACCTCTTCCACCTCCTTCATCTCCTCCCCAGCACTCTCTCTCATGCCACTATTCCCAAAACCAAGTGACTCTTGAGGCGCCACAAAAGTCATTTCATTACCCCCCGCACTCTCTCTCATAAAACGATTCCCAGGACCAAGCACCAGCTGCGTCGAAAGCATAGGTGCACACATCTGCATCTTACAACATCTCTTCCCCACCTTCTCCCATGCTGCCATCAGCATCCCATACTTATCCGCACGACCATGCCCATCCGCACCACCACTCCTACCCACATCAGCATCAGCATCCGCATCCCCACAACCCCTCCCAACATCACCACCATCACTGCCACCTTCTTTCAACCCCTCCTCTCCTTGAACTCTCGCTCTCTTTCTTGCCAAATCCTCCTCCTTGCCTTGCTCAACGGATCCCCTTTCATTGCATGGTTTGGGACAAAGGAGCTGCAGCGGAATTCTGCCCTCTTTACACTCTCCTCCCATGGTCCTCCTCTTTGTGCCACCGTTGCCCTCGCCCTGCAAGTGAGTCTCCTTGTTTCTTCTGATTTCGTTGGACTCTTTGGTCCCTTCCTCTTGCTCCTCCCTGTCAGGCCCTTTGTCGCAATGCTTTTGACGCGCCTCAAAAGTAGTCTCTTTGGACTCTTTGGTCCCTTCCTCTTGCTCCTCCCTGTCGGGTTCTTTGTCGCAATGCTGCATCACATCTATGCGGTTTTCTGTTTCGTAGATGGCTGCCAAAGGTGGGAATCATAGGGAGGAATGGGACAGGGGAGCAAAGGAAAGGGCGTTGTATCACCAGGCGCAATTGAGAGGTATGATAATAAAGGGAGAGATCTTCGCAGAACAGGAGGAATAACATCAGGAGAGTGAATATCAGGGGAAGATCTTGAGTCGTGAGAGAAGAGTGCCAACAGAACGACTAGTGGTAGGTGAGGAAGAGAAGAGGAGGAGGAGGAGGAGGAGGAGGAGGAGGAGGAGGAGGAGGAGGAGGAGGAGGAGGAGGAGGAGGAGGAGGAGGAGGAGGAGGAGGAGGAGGAGGAGGAGACATGGCAGATGAAATGAAGGCGGGGGAGAGAGGTGGAAAACGATAGGACAACGAAGAAAGAGGTGGGAGAAAAAGTGGTGGAAGGTGGGGGGGCAGGGGGGGAGGGTTGAGGGAGGAGAAGGAGGAGTGGTCATATGACGTCAAGCTTGCATTGGCATAGTGGCAGGTAAAAAAAAAAAAAAAAAAAAAAAGGCAGCAGAAGCAGCAGCAACAGTATCAGTTGCCGTTGCAACGACGTGGGTGGCTGGCATCATCACCAGTGACAGAAGCAGCAGCAGGAGCAGCAGCAGCAGCAGCAGTGGCAGCAGCAACGTCAGCAGTCGCCACGGCGGCAGTGACAGCAGCGGCAGCAGAAACGGCAGGGGAAGCTGCAGCACCAGCGGCAGTGGAAGTTGGCAGTGGCAGTAGCAGCACCACAAGGAGCAGCTACAGCAGACTCCGTACCAGCAGCAGCAGCAGCAGCGAAAGCACCAACAACGGCTCGAGACAGCAGTGGCATTGGCAAGAGCAGCAGCAGCAGCAGCGACGGCGGGGGCGGCGGTGGCGGGGGCGGCGGCGGCGGCGGCGGCGGCGGCAGCAGCAGCAACACCAGCAACAGCACGAGGCAGCGGTGGCAGTGGCAGTGGCAGGAGGCAGCAGCACAAGCGACAAAACAATAGCACGAGGCAGCAGTAGCAGCAGCAGCAACAACAACAACACCACCAACAACAGCACAAGGCAGTGGCAGTGGCAGTGGCAGGAGCAGCAGCAACATCAGCAGCAGCAGCAGCAGAAGCAGGCAGCAGCAACAGCAGCGGCAGCGGCAGCGGCAGCGGCAGCAACAGCGGCGGCGGCGGTAGCAGCAGCAGGAGCAACAGGACCAGTAGCAAAAGCATAAGAAGCAGCAAAATGAAATGCAGCAACATCGGGAATGTCAGCAGCAGCAAAAGCAGCAAACCAGCTGCATTAAAAGCAGCAACCGCATCTGCATAGCAGCAGCACTACCTTGGCAGACATACATTTGCCATACATCTCATCTTGCATATGTGAGTGTGACACACAACAGCTACATGCACAAGTGTGACTGTGTATGTGTATGGTTACTGTCGCAAGGTTGTTGCTAACAGAAGAACGAACGGTAGTGAGAGAAAGAGCGATTTTGTTGTAGAACGTGCTTAGATAGACAGAGTGCATATGGTGTGCAACAAAACTCTCACTTCCTCTCTCAGAGTGATTGCACAGTGTCCAAATCCAATATTGGATTAGCACGGAAGAGAAAAGGGGGGGAGGGGATGCGGAGAAGGAGAGGTGGAAGAAAGCGAAGATGAGAGAGGAGCGATCTAGATCCCCTTCCCAAATCTCTCCTTTCTCTTCCCCTCTCTCATTCAATGAGACAAGTTGCCTCTCACATCTTTTCTCTTCCTGGACACGATACAAGGGACCTTTTGAGAAGGAGAGAAAGACAGAAGTCTCTCATTCTTTTCAATTACCGTTGTCCATAAGCTCCAAACACAGAGGCAAGTCCCTCTTGAACATCAGGACCTTCACTCGCTCCTCTTGAAGATTCTTCAAGTATTCTTTCAACACTTCCATTTTATGCTTCTACCAAGAGAAGAAAAAAACTATCATATGAAGGCCTATCAAGTAGTAGTGCATGGGACAGCAAAATGTGCTAATTCTATGACTAGTATCAGATCTGGTAAGCCCGTTAGCAGTCTCTCCCTGGTTTCCATGACGCAAACCAAATTTTCCTGCTCAGCAGGTACCGCTGCTGGCCTATCTGCCTGTCAGAAAGCAGAGGGAGAGCATTTTTAGCAGGAGGGTGGGGATGGGCAACAAGCACCAACTTGTTAACAAACCAACTACACTTTGACGATCCCTGGGAAAACCCTAGGGTTCGGAGGCCAGCAGGTTTGGCAACCTAGAGATTCGCGGTGAATACCGCGAAATTTTGCCAGGCCCAAAACCTGATGCCGAACTGAACCGAACCACAGCCGCATGGCTGCCTGTCACCATCCCTCCCACCTACAGTCAAGGCTTGGTGTCCTCCTCGCCCATGGTTTTTTTTTGTTTTCGAACAGCCCCTCGTCGCCACGCGAATATTCAGCAGCATTAGTGGCTGGCATCAGTTCACATCAGTGATTCGGAGTGGTGAAAGCTACGGCCATTATCTCCGATAATCGAATTTCGCCTGAAGGCGTTCTCAGGTGTAATCACCAACAGAAACACGGTTTCGCGATATTGTAGGAAGCTTTTCTGTTTCGTATCTGTATACAGTCACCCAAAAAATTTGCAGCGCTTGAAAAAAAAAATATAACCCGTAGTGTACCTAAATGATTTCCGGGAAGGATCAACCCTAAATACCGAAAGCCGCCCAATATTTTGGAAAACATATTGCAGCCCACTTGACAAAAAAAAAAAAAACAATCAGAAAGGGATGCGACTCGGGAGGCATCAAACCTAAAAACAATTTCCATTCCCGTGTTTAGGGTTGACCCCTCTCGAAAATGCATCCAGGTTCCCTAGGGGTTTTTTTCCTGCCATGCCCGAATAGTTCTCGGTAGCGTCGTCTAGTGCTTTCGGTAGCTTTGTTTAGCGGTCGGTTGCGCTACTGAGCACCACCAAGTGAATTATATAGGCTTCATTCTCTTACTACCTAAATTTCCGTTCATATATCCAAGTCGGGAGGGTAAACTTGACGGTTCTGTTTTTGTCCCTTTTTAATGAGTTCGACCAGTGTAAAAAACGTGACAATAAAGCGACGACCAATCAATATTGAGAAAGTCCAGGCTGATTACACCTGAGAACGTGCTCAGGAAAAATCTGAGTATCGGAGATAATGGCCGTGAAAGCTAAGCCAATCGCGGTGCCTTGGATTTTCTGTAAACGACCAATCCGCCCTTCCCCTCAAGACATTGAGATTTTCTGGTGTACTCGCGCAGTGCTCCTGTATTTGTTAGGACTACGACAGTTCTGAACTTATAATCAGAGAACCTGAAAGTACGACTGGAAAAGTCATGCGGAAAGTTCATTTGCTCGCAATCCTTCGGCTTTTGAAGGCAGACCCACACCCTCGTCCCAAAGGTCCCGCTCCCTTTCAGTGTGACAGTAACCATTTCAAAGGAAAGTGAGACCTGCTATTCTCAGTACTACTTTCGCTATTTTCGCTGTAGGGTAAATTTTCGCGTTAATGGAACTCCACAATTCAAGTTTGAGTAATGCGTTGTCGTGTAGTTCACGCAGGATCAAGGGAATCCTGTCACAACAAGCTTGCGCGGCGATTGGAACCAGCATCACGAAGGAGAACCAATGCCCACGGGCTGGAGTGCACTTGCTGAGTTGGACGCATCTTCTGGGAATTCAACGAATATTCCTTGTTATGGTACATATACCCATCATTAGGTTCCACGTAAGGATCCACGTTCAGGAGTGCTGTTGTATGAGTTAGATCAAAACTTCAGTCTACACCCTCTTTCTCGCCATTGTGAGTTCGGTTATAGTGAAGTCAAGTTGGGAAAAGCACGGTTAACGGTGGTTAGATTAAGTCTAGATATGGTTCAATCAGACAAATCGAAGGTAACTAGGTTTTCCATCAGTTCAGCACAGTTCAGTGTAGTGAGAAACAGGGTGTACAACCACAATCATATGGGTCAATAGTAACAGCTGTTGATGTAGTATGCTCTTTGTAGAGTATCTTTGTACAACCACAATGTGTATATTTGTGTTAACTTCAAACAAGAACTACTTACCAGCAATTTATCCCTCCAGAGAAATCAAGCTAGCCAAACACATCCCAATGAATTCTTAATCTTTGCACCCCCAAAATAGCACACAATATCTTTCTTAGCCATTATGAAACGGAACAAGCACATGTAGGATGGTATGTCTCGATAATACTTACGACGCACACAGAGATCATAGAAAGGATTAACAAACACATAATGGCAATGTAATTGATCCTCCTTTCCAGAAACACTACACAACTCTGCTCCTCCCAAGCAAATTCTGCCCCACCACTCTGCTCTCCACCCCAAATTCCTCTGAATCCTCCAGAATCTTCTACAAATAAAAAAGGAGATAAAAGCATTAAGCTGTTCCCTGAGACACCACTCTCCCTGGAGCCTAGCTAGCAGATTAAGGGGATGAAGGAGGGGTGACAGGCTTCTTCACCCCCTCCCCAGTCAGCAAGTCCTTGGGAAAGACATTGTATGGCTCGGGGTACAGCAGCTGAGTCTTGCCCTGCAAGGCGGGGAAGGGGGGGTGTTGGAGGGGAGGGGAAAAGAGTTCAAGACAAGAGGGACAAGGGTCGTGGAAAGGTTTAGGGGAATGAGGGGCTTCATCACCCCCTCCCCAGTCAGCAAGTCCTTGGGGGAAGACGGTGTATGGCTCGGGGTACAGCAGCTGAGTCTTGCCCTGCAGAGGGGAAGAAGAGGGGGGAAAAGAAAAAGAGAAGGCAAGCAAAGAAGAGTACATTAGAGCCATGAAATGACATGTATGGCTCATATGCCGCATCAGTCGCATCTTACCCAGGTGATGTGCAGATTGCAGCATGTTCACAACACCACATGGAGCAATTGAGCACTGTGTGAGTGATGGTGGTGCAATTAAATTGCCTGTTCTTCTGAAGCCCCAACTGCCTTTTCTTCTCATCTCTTCCTCTAGAATCATTACTACACGCCAACATATTCGCCGGCCTACCTCCAGATAGCGGTTGAGCAGCGTGGTGGTGCTGTAGTTGAAGCCCTCAATCGCCTGGCCCTTGCTGCTTTAAGTCACGCCATTTGCAGTCACACCAGCACCATCAAAACATTCACCTCCAGATAGCGGTTGAGCAGCATGGTGGTGCTGTAGTTGAAGCCCTCGATCGTCTGGCCCTTGGTGCGGCAGGCGTTCATCTGAGTGCGCACTCGCGAGGCCAGCACCTAGTGGGAGGGAGAGGAATGATACAACATTCTTAGTCATAAAGCAACTATGTGCTTGAGTGTGGAAGATGAGTGTGGGAGGAAAAGAAAAGTGCGAAAAGGGTATTTGACAGACTATGGGAGCTGACTGTGAAGGAAATGAGTGCGCGGTTGACGAGTGTGTTGCAGGTGTCCACGGGGCACAGGCGAGTGTGTTGTTTGTGTGGTGATTAGGGCACACAGGGAAAGGCAGAGTGGGGGACAACCCCTTGCTTGCACTCCACTCTCCACAGCCATGTCAGGGTTTAAGGTTTTGGGCTTACCTTGCCGAGCTCCACGCCCCATTGGTCGAACGAGTTGATGCCCCACACGAAGCCCTGCACCGCCACCCTGTTCTCGTACAGTGATAGGAGCTGATGGTGAGGGGAAAATGTGAAGAGGGGAGGGTGGGGGGGAGGAAAGGCTATAGAGGCAAGGGCGGTGATGAGAGGAATGTGTAGCAATGCAAGGAAAGGAGCACAGTGGAACCGAATCACTAAGAGTCCAGTGTGGAATCACACGATATGTTCCTCGTGAAGCCCTGCAGTGCACTAACTCAGTCGCTTATCCGCCCACTATGTAGGTGTGAGGTTAAAGAGTCCCTTACCTGCCCCACCATAGAGAGTGGGAGTATAGAGAGTGAGTCTCGTACCTGTCCCACTGTGTAGGGTGTGAGCGATGGCAGGAGGATGCTGAGAGAAGGCCTGTTGCCAGTGAAGGTCTGAAAGAGCGGAAGTGGAGGTGGGGGAGGAGGGAAGGGGTAGGATAAGAGAGAGAGAATGAGAGAAAACGGTGAGGAAATGGTGGGTATGCAGAATAAGATGGTGAGGTAACAGGAGGATGCTGAGAGAAGGCTTTTTGCCAGTGAACTTGGGAAATGAGCTTGGGAAGGTGGAGATAGAGGAAGGAGAGAGCGGGATACAGAGAGGGGACAGAGAAGGAGGGGAGAGAAGGGCATATGGTGCGAATGATGGCAGGAGGATGCGGAGAGATGTTGCCAGTGACGGTATGGAGGCAGGGGGTTAAGGGGGGGGGGACAGAGGGAGAAGGAGGGAGAGAATGAAGGAGGGGAGGCAAGGGCTTGGGGTGTGATCTGAGCGATGGATTGTTGCGATGGCATGGGGTGAAGGTCTGGAGGCAGGGAGGGAATGGAGTAGGAGACAGAGAGGGACAAGAGAGAGGCAGACAGAGAGGGAAAGGAAACAGTGGATAGGATACGATACCTTGTGCGGAAGTGGGATCGCGAAAGAGATTATGAACCTAGTGGAGAAGAGAGGACGAGGAGAGGCTTCATACCTTGTGCGGAATGAGGTGGTCCGGCACTCCTTCAGCCTTCAACTCCTCTCCGGTCTGTTCAGCAAACGCAAGGGAGAAAAGTGCTAAGGAAAACGAGTAGGAGTGTGAGAGGGGAGATGGGATGATAGTTGATGATGTGATGAGTCGCGCAGGGAAGTGGACAGAATAAAGAGCATCCCCACCTCACCTAACCCCACCTGTACTTTGCCATAACCCATCCCCATCCCAACCTTGCCATAGTAGCCCATCCCCATTTCAACCTTGCCATAAGCCATCCCTACCTCGCAATAAGCCATTCCCACCTTTCCATATCTAGTCCGTACCTTGCCGTAGGCCAGGGCATCAGCCTGAGCGAAGAAGTTGCACAAGAGCTCGTTGTGGTTGCTCCGATTTCGCCTGATTAACGCGCAAAACCACACCGTACCACACCGTACCACAGAGTACCGCACAACACCGCACATAACAGCGTACCTTGCCGTAGGCCAGGGCATCAGCCTGAGCGAAGAAGTTGCACATGAGCTCATCATGGTTGCTCACGATCTCGCCTGACAAAGCACAGAACCACACAGTACCGCACAGCACCACAAAAAAGATATGAGCAGGGAGGAATCAGGGTGCACATAGCATGCGCAAAACCCAGCAACAATGGCCAGACACAGCGTCGCACATCACTATGCAGCACCTCAGTGCAAAGCTATGGATCAGAGGCATGAGGACCACCAACCCTTGAACCATTGCCCACACGGCAATTGCAAAACACCCCTGAGACAGACGGATTGTTGGCTCTTAGTGTCTTCTAAGTCGGCTGAAAACAATGTTCACACAAGAAACCTACCCTTCAGGTACACGGACTGCTGGCTCTTGATGATGCCGATGAAGTCGCACGGGACCACGCGCCCCTGGTGAATGAGCTGATAGAAGGAGTGCTGACCGTTGGTGCCTGGCTCGCCAAAGTCAATCTCCCCACACTCGTAAGGCAGCACCTCCCCGTCGATGGACACGCCCTTGCCGTTGCTCTCCATGCTCACCTGATGGATAGATAAATAAAGGAGACACAGGTGCGATTAGCAAAGACAGAGCAACTGCCAGCCAGTTAAATTCCAAATTCTAAAACACGCAATGTATCCTGGGAACCATGCCTACTACTTGACCAGATCGGAAGCAGATGGATGAGGGTTGATGGCAAGCAAGCGGCAAGCACTTACTTGCTGAATGTGAGGAGCCAGCTTCTGAAGAGCTTGGCAGTAGGGAAGAATGGCCTGCAGTCGTGCTCGAGGAGACACATGGGGTAGATAGAAGTGGGGAATACAAACGGCAGATAAGAGGAGAGACTTGTCGACTCAAAAGTCAGAATGGCCTGCAGTCGTGCAGGAGGAGAAACATGGGGTAGATAGAAGCAACTAAGAGGAATACAAACGGCAGATTAGAGGAGAGGCAGATGCAACGTAGGAGAGGGGTACATGTGGGGGCAAGAGGTGGCAGGTGAAGTCTTAGAGGCAGCAGAACCAGGGCAGGGCGGCAAGAGGCTGAGAACCTTAGAAGGTTAGGTTACTAACCCGGGCAGGGTTGCCGAAGAAAGAAACGTTCCAGATGCTGATGAGGCCCAGAAGCACCTGATGGGGGCGCAAGCAGCAAAGAGACAATACAGCAAATGGACCGACAAATTAACGCTGGTGGCAATTCAAGAAGCAGCCTGGCTGGCTTTCGAATAGGGACTGAAAGGTACAGCGTACAGTTCATATTGAGAACCGCATGTGGTGATGTAAAGGGGTGAATGAGGCTACGTACAGGGAGGTTTGACTCGAAGGGAGCAGTGTGGAAGTGAGTGTCAACGCTCCATGCGCCCTTGAGGAATCTGTGCGTGCAAGGAAGATGAGTGGGTGGGTCAAAGGGGGGGCAAGGGAGCGCAAGGGGGGGCAAGGGGGGAAGAAGGGAGGGCAAGGGAATGAGGCGGCAGTGTGGAAGTGAGTATCACCACTCCATGCACCCTCGAGGAACCTGTGAGTGAAGGAACATGAGTGGCGGAGAGACAAACGAAGAGGCAGAGGGGAAAGGGACGGTGAGGACGAGAGGGAGTGGTGTGAAAAGCTCAGCCACTCGAGCTTTTAACTAATACAGAACTTGTGGAGTGGAGTGTGCGTGTAAAAGCAGTTTGATTCAGGGTTCAGGGTTTGGGGCGAGAGCTTTCTGGTGGGAAAGAGGAAGACGTAGTCTTTCATGTGCTCTGTACTGCAGGTGGAGGTGGGAAGCACTCGTGGGAAGCACTCGTGGGAAGCACGCGTGGGAAGCACTCGTGTGAAGCACTCGTGGTGTAGGGTGTCAGGGCTATGGTTCGGGGTTTGGGGTTTGGGGCTAGAGCTTTCTGAGCAAGGAATCAGGAGGGCACTCACTTGTGCACGTGCTCGAAGCCATACTGCAGGGCGAGGGGCAGCACACCAACAGCGCTGGTAACTGGCGGAAATCGGGGCGGGGCAAGGGAGGTGCAGTGCAGAGGAGGTGTGAGAACGGAAGGGAAAAGGGGGAGGGAAGGTTGCAGAGAGTCTATTTTTGAGTCGACTCAAATGTAGACTCATCACATAGAGAGGTGCAGCGCAGAGGAGGTGGGAGAATGGAAGGGAAAAATAATGAGGGGATGTTGCAGGGAAGTGGGCGGGAGGTGGGAGGGCAGAAGGGATGTGACAGATGTTGAGGGGATTGAGAGCGAGGGACACAGCAAGAGGCGGCGTTAAGGGCAGGGCTGAAGGGCGAGAGATGAAGAGAGGGAACGGGGGAAAAGGGAGAGCAGCGATGGTGCTGATGACTGGAAACAACAGCAACACGGACAGGGTGAGAGTGAGAGCCCTACACAAACAGGAACTCTGGACTCACTAAGGTAAAAGATAGAGAAATGGGTGAGGGGAGGAGAGAGGGAAAAATGGCTGAGGGAAGGAGAGAGGGAGCGAGGGAGCTAGCGAGTAAGGGAGCGAGAGCAAGGGAGCGAGGGAACAAGAGAGCGTACCACTGTAGCGGCCGCCAACCCAGTCCCAGAAGGCAAAGGCGTTAGCAGGGTCGATGCCAAACTCCTTAACGAGCTGGAGATCACATACAGGGGGAGGAAGGTAAGGGAGGAGGAGGGAGGGAAAGGGAGGAAATGGAGCGGGAGGGAGGAAAGGGGTGCCGCGTGGAGCGGAAGGAGGTGGGGAAGGCATTCGCAGGGTCGATGCCAAACTCCTTGACCATAGGGGAATCCACTCAGTTTGAGGAGAGAGGACAGAAGACGATTATAGGACGACTATAGGTACCAGAAATGGAAACGCCTCACCTTGAGGTTTGTGCTGACTGCTACCATGTGCTTTGCCACTGCGTCCTCGCTGCAGCAGAGAATGCAGGAAAGATGAATGAGAGGGTACGGGGTACAGGGGGGAGAACAGGGGATAATTAGCGGTACAAAGGCTCGTGCTGACTGTTACCATGCGCCTTGCTACTACGTCTTCGGTGCAGCAGAGGAAAAGGGAAAACGGGAGGGGGGAGGTGATTGATTGTACAACAATGTTCCCATCTCACCATGAGGCTCGTGCTGGCTGGCACAATGAGGTCCGATAGAAAAGAGGACTGGCTTTAGCCCTCAAGCCACGTGATTGAAGAAGGGTTTTGAGACGTCTCAAAACCCTTCTTCAATCACGTGCTGGCTGGCACAAAGAGGACTGGCTTTAGCCCTCAAGCCTTCACTCAACCCCACACGGTGAATTTGAGGAAGCATGTGCGTGGTGTGCATGTATGTTAGTAGCGCATGCATGCACACTATGAAACCCCACGCTAATTGACTATTACATGCAAGAACAGACTCCAGAATAAACTCACCCCAGGGCCGATGTGATCCATGTGCGCACTGTGCGTGCGTTGAGCATGGTCTCTGCTGTGGTGAACGTCTTAGACACCACCACCACTGGCAGGGGGGCGACGGGGGAAGAGGTAGGTGGTGGGGCGGGGGAAGGGGTGGGGGTTGGTCAGCAATGTGCGTGCGTTGAGCATGGTCTCTGCTGTGGTGAACGTCTTAGACACCACCACCACTGGCAGGAGAGGGGGGTTGGCAAGAGGCGGGAAACACACAACACAGGGAACTTTAGGGGACAGGAGCAAGATTTGGGCGTGTGTCAATGTCCATGGGTCAATCGTCAACATGGTATCTCGTTGTTGGCATCAGCGATGGGATAAAACGAGCTTGTTCAATGAGTGCATCGACGTCGTACCGAGGGTGGTTTCCTGGTCGAGGCCGTGGAGGGCGGTTGCGACATCAATAGGGTCAACGTTAGAGAGGCTGGAAGAGAGCAGACGAGGGAAGGGGAGGGGATGGAGAAACAGGGGCAGGGACAAGATGAAAAGAATAGAGTTGACACGGAGATAACTGTGGAGGGCCATGGCGACGTGAATGGAGTCAACTTTGGACGGGCTGGGGAAGAGCAGACGAGGGAGAGGGGCGATGGACAAACACCACAGGCAGCCACCGAAGCCTTGTACGTGGCATGCAAAGAGGCCCTTGTGAGACTTGTGCAATTGGGGGACAAGAGTTGAGTCCTGTGCAGTGTGAAAGAAAGTGCTCATGGCCTTGTGCAAGTGCGGAGTAAAAGCTTGGACTTCCACCGAGCACGATGGGAAGTAAAGCGTGAAGCGGAGCCAGTTGAAGTCGACTTCAGATAGTGAGGAAGTGAAATGCCACGACTTACAATCGCAAGCTGCGGCCGTCTGCTGCCTTGGCAGAGCTCGGGTCTGATCCATACAGAGGCAAAGGAGACGGATGAAGGGGCAGGCAAAGGGGCAGGCGGTTCAGACAAAATGACACAGGAACTTGGAAGTACAGCAAAACGGGTGGAGACGAACTGGGGCCAGGGCTGATGAGTTCCAATTATTCAACTCCGCATTCCTCTCCTCTCAAAACGGCTCTCCTCAGCTTTAAGCCCCATCCACGGCTAGACCTTAATACAGGGACCTAGGATGCAAGGGGTCAGAGGCAGTAGCTGACTGACCTGTTTGAAGAGCTGTGTGGACAAAGAGAGGACCCAGGAAGCTTCCTCCGATGCCAATGGCGACCACGTCAGTCAGAGGCTTGCCAGTGGCGCCTAGCTGTAAGGTGGGGCACGATTTGGGGTGAAGGTGCATGGGGAGGAGAGAGTAATGGTTTGCCCATCCACTTGTACTATTCGCCGTCTGTCCTGCCTCCTCATTCACCCATTTTATCCACTCAACAGTGATCAACCCTGTCCGCACTCACCCATTTCTCAGAACGAGCAGCTTCATCAATGCACGCCTGGATCTTGTCCAACACCTCCCACACGCCCGGCTTCAACCATATGCCCCCATCCCAACCACCAGTAAGTAACCCCTTTTGCCCACTTGCCACCTTGACGGACACCTCTCCACCGATTTCAACTCACCCATTTGCCGGACCGAACAGTGTCTGTGAACGCCTTGATCTTGTCCAGCACCTCCCACACACCAGGGACCACGTTCTTGCCGTCCACATTGATGGTCTGGGAGGGAAAGGGGGGGGAAGAGGGAGGGGGAGCGGGAGGAGGAATTAGGGGCGAAGGGGAGGGGGGGGGGAGGAGGGGAGGGGGGACAGAAGAGAAAATGTGGAAACGGGTTGAGCAATCAAACTCAACAGCCATCACAACACCTCCCACACGCGCCAGGCACCACGTTCTTCCCACCCACGTTGATGTTGTTGATGCCGCTGAAGCACCCCTTATTCACAGCACAGCATGGCAAAATGATTCTCATTCGACCGGAAAATCAATGAATGAAACACCTCCTACCCACAGCAAGTCACTGCATGATGCTGGCACGGAAACACCTCTTACTCACAGCGTCACGGGGAGCGCGGAGTGCCACATGCAGGACAGCGCGGTTTTCCGTGGAGTTGATCTGCCAGGCGAGGAAAGGCGAAATGGAGCGAAGGGAGAAAAGAAAAAGGGGGGGTTGAACTTGAAATACAACTTTGAAGTCTGAAAGGACAGCGTGGAACTCAGTGGAGGTGATACGAGAGGAGTGGGGAGAGAGAGAGTGGAGGGAGGGGAGTGGGGCGATGGGACAAAAGGAAAGGGAGGTTGAACTTGGATAAGGCTTGTAATTCAGAAATGACAGCGCAGAGCTCAGTGGAAGTGATACGAGGGGAGTGGGGAGAAAGAGGGGGAGCACTGGCGATGATTTGGCACAACCTAACAAAGACTCACATGCTCGGCATTGAAGAATGCAACCGGTTCACACCCACTAGTGCCCTACAAAAGACTCACGTGCTCGCCGTTGAACATGGCATCGATCTTCTCCTTCAGCTTCGCCTCCTGCATTCACGAACCGGCGGAGTGTGGTGGAGTGGAGGAGACAAGGCAGGAGCAAACAGAATGACAATTATGCGCACCCATGCAACGCTGATGCAAGTAATCACACACCTCAATCAATTAACCAAACAGAGATTCTTTCCTCCTACAAATCTCTCTTGGCTTACCTCGGCAAGAGCCAGCAGCTTTGGGAGGGTCTCAGTGGTGGCCCTCTGCCTGGAGAAATCAACCAGGATGCCGTCGTACTCCCTGTAGCGAAATTCACGCGGGTTAAGAGGAAAAAACGGAACTCAAAAGCGTCATAAACATGATAACGTAAGCTGAGACAGCAGCGTTTGCTCTAACATATCATCTGCTGAACCGACTCGTCCAGCTGAATATTTGATAAAAGAAACAGCACTTGCAACGAGCTACAAGCAGCCACTCGCAAGGTGTATGTATGCCGTCAGAGAGCCGCTCACTTGATCATGGTAGCGCAGCGAGCCTCGTCCTTGAGCAGATCCCGCAGGTGGGTCTGGTCGATCGCCTCCTTGTGCGCCTGGGGGGAGCGGGGGGAGCACGAGGACGCGGATACGAGTCAATGCGAGCGAGTGGTGTTGAAGAGCAAAGGGAGTGTCTAGTCCCGCAGGTGGGTCTGGTCGATCGCCTCCTTGTGCGCCTGGGGGGAGCGGGAAGGGGAACCGCGAGGACGCGGACACGAGCCAATGCGAGCAAGTGGCAGTTGTAGAGAAAGGGGAGAGAATTTTTCCGCAAATGGTCCCTGTGCGCCTAGGAAGGTGCGAGGAGAAGACAAAGAGGCAGGAGGAGGAGTACGAGAGGGAGGAACGAGGGAACACGCGGCGCAATGGCGGCAATGGCCGTGTTAATGAGGCGTTTTAGCGCTCTCCTGACGAGTCTGGGTGATGAAGAAGGTTTAGGTCGCGCGAACGGGAGTTAAAGGCAGGAGCACGTGTGGAAGGGGATGGCTGAAGAAATTTGCCAGATGAAAAATTCCGCTCAGAGGTACTGGGAGAATGGGTGTTGGGAAGTCTGAGTAAGCAGAGCGGAATGTTGTAGGTCGTACTATGCAATGATGTGGTATGTTGTTTCATTCCTAAAAAACATATGAAGCGACAAAAACCCTTCATATCCGCGTTAGGAGTCGACACGTACTTCCAGATGGGCGGGCCAGCAGTTGCGCTACAACGGAAACTGCAGCCATGATTGAGCCACTACTTCACTCGGATCTTCACAGAATATCCAACGGACTCCAGAACCTCTAGAAACTTCTTCGCGTCCGAGTCGCTTCCTTCTGCGCTTTCCACTTATCAGCGGATCACGAAACAATCTCCTGCTGTGTCCTTAACGATCAATGCTGAAGCTGCTGGAGAAGCTCTTTTGCTTCGAACTCGCCTCCGACCGCTCCTTCGGTTTTCTTCCCTCGTCTCAGAAATCTGAAACGGGCGCTCTTAACGGGGATGCACCGACGAGCTGACGGCCATTGACCCATCGACGTAACGTAATCCAGCTACAGCCTGCTCCTTCGCCTCAACTACCACAGCGATCTATCAGCCTGCTCCTTCGCTCCTGCAAATACAGTCAACTACGGTCACTCAACCAAAGCGTGCAAGCCTACCTGCAGCGTTAGCTCTAGCCGTCACGCCATCATTCGGTCTACCGCCCCAAGTCGAAAGTCGTGGGGAGACGTAGACGTTTAAAGGCGAGTTTTGAGAGGCGCGTCTGAGTGTAACAGGACCGTGAGGCCCATGCAGAAGGTAACTGTTTTGGTACCTTTAAGATCGTACCTTGAGGTCGCTCCATGCAGCAGATTCGCTGATGAGCGCCTTGGTCGCGGTGGCAGTGGCGGCCTGCACGGGAAGGTGGGGAGAGAATGGTGAGGAAGATCGCAAACGGAAAACAAAGCTTGTGAAATATTCCAGGAAGATACTATTGCAATTTCAAGCACAGCATTCGCGAGATCCAAGGCGCATCAAGACTAATTTCCCTCATCCCGGATGAGCCGAGAGCAGCAGCTGGTTCGTCGCGAAACAATGAAATGGCTGGGGATTTTGGAATGCCTGGGATGAAGTGAAAGCGTACCATGGTAGGCTTGGGGGAGTTTGAGCTGGCTCGGACTGAGATCTGGCTTCGGTCGAGCTTCGCTGGCAGCCTGCGAGAAGAAAGACGGAGCCATGACGCGGAGTATTATTTTCTTCATATTTCGTAGGAAATGCAAACATCTAGAAGGCTGGATTGAACTAGCAGAATGTGGTCCTATGCGATATCATGATGCAGGGAGGCGAGCCAACAAACCTAGGTCAGCTCATTTTCTCTTATCGCGACGGGTAGACGGCGAGAACGAATCATCGAAGCAATCGTGGAAGAATTCTCAGCTGCTCGTAAAATCCAAAACTGGAAAGCTAAGAACTGTCTAAAAGGTAGCATAGAATTCACTGCTCTGGTCTCTTCTAGGTATCCACAACGCAACTCCAGTGGTAAATTTTGGAGATACATTTACACGTGTGTCTAAAGCAAGTTCGTGCTTAGGACGCAAATCTGGCGAGAATGCGAGAGAACTAGAGCGACCTAAAGAGATGACTAGTGCAGGTACATTTGAAAAGCTTCGATTGAAGAGATTTTTTCTCAAAAATGAATCTCACCAAACCCACCTGGACAGATGGCCTGTGCGAGTAAATTCGAGCAGCTTCGCTCCTGATGACAAGAACGCGACGCTGTTCTTAAGATTCTGCTTAACTCCGGACTGGAGCAAAGAGGATACGCAAGACGCGCTTGCAGCAGCAGTGGAAGTTATCTGAGCAGCAATAACCATGGCTTCTCTGATTTCACCCTAGGAACTTCAAGAGGGACAGCACAGGGAAAGAGCAGAGGGGTGAGGGGGCAAGCGAGCCAGCTGTGAGAGGCTAGGGGGAGCAGCAGGAGCAAAGCAGCTGCACTGGTCTGTGCTCGACAATCCCAGGAATGAGGCAAAAAGGGCAGATTCTTGTGAGAAAATGAAGACAGCAAGGACCATCGGGAATGTCGTTCACCAGTCCCGAGGCCTGGAGGCGCGGCCTTTAGGGAAACAGCTCAGGAAACGCGGCCCACGTGGCGCAGGTGATTTGCAGGCCCTCCGATCTGTGCGCATGTGGCCCACACGACGGCTTGCCGTCGTGGCAGGCTGGTCCCAAAAAAGATTCCATCCGCGTCAGGTGCCACGGGATCTAAACATTGCTTCCCCAAAACACGTCATCCAGCTGTCGAAAAATACCATCTCAGTCATTCATCAAGCCAGCATGGCGAGTTTTGTGTGGTGAAGCACTGCTAAAAGCTGACGCATTTCCCCGAACCACATGTGGAATGGTTGGGCTCAACTGAGGTGGCAACCTCGTTGCCTCAAGCGAGTTGTTCGCCTGCGATGTCGCTTAGTACATGGAACTGTTACGAAATCATTGGCCTTCGGAATTAATGATACCTGACTTAGTGCAAGGAATTTTCCCGAATTCCTTATCGGGGTTGACTACTTCGCGTACAACCCGATTTTCGGAGTTCGCACGTTCGGCCGATTTCAACGCTGCCGAGGCTCCTCGCGTCGCCTTCGGCATTCCCATCGCCAATCCTGCACCCAACCTCGCTCGTCCGAGGTTTCCTCCTAGCTAGAGTAGTCCTACATTAGTCTGTGCATTCATTGTATTCGCAGTTGATTCAGTTACAGCCTTGTTATTCGTTTACCTGCGCACTCTCTTTACAACTCATAACACCTGGTATCAGAGCTACTTTCCTAGTTCACCCCGCTTTTCCGAGAGTAGTTTGGTGGCATAGGGTGTGGCTGGTTTAGTGACTACACGACGGTTGGCTGCAGGGATTGTTAATTCAATCCTGCCCGACTCCAATAGTTCGTGTTTTCACTTGCCTGAAGGCCACGGAGACCCGATTGCCCACCAGACGTAGCGTTAGGCATATGGATCAGGAGGCGGTCAATAGGATGATGGCGCAAGTGGCAGAAATGCAGGAAAGCATGAAGACGTTAATGGCGGAAGTGACAACGCTGCGAGAGGAAAACGCCGAGCTACGCCAGACGCGAGGTGAAGCGCGTCAGGAGTCGCCTGTGGACGAAGGCGAGGGCAACAGTCAGGCGATGAGCAATCCACTGGATGGGCTCACACGTGACTTCGAAGAGGAGGACAGGCAGCGAGCGGCAACAGAACCAGTTGCAGTGATAACGATCAAGATCAAGCCCGTCAACCCACCCCCGTTTAATCCTACGGACAAGACGGTTACGGTAAAAGGGTGGTTGTTCGGGGTCGAAGTCTTTTTTACTGCAGCCGGAGTTAATGACGACGCCACGCGTATTAATTACGCAGTTTCGCTTCTTCGAGGTGCAGCGCTTGAGTGGTGGCGCCGAACCTTGGAAACAGGGACGCCGACAGGTGTGACACATGCGGCAGATGGGACCGCAACAGTGACTAATCAAGTGGCAACATCGATCTTCGGAGTGACCACGATACGCACGTGGAAGGAATGGGGCGCAGCCTTACGAGGTCGCCTCGAGCACGTATCCGCCTCGGAGCAAGCTCGCATGAAGCTGCGTGCATGGTCGCAGATGGCTTCTGTCCAAGACTACACGGCGTCATTTATGAGCCTCGCCGACCAAGTCGATGACATGTCGGAAGCTAAACGGCTGGATAAATACATCAGCGGCCTCAAATATGAGATATAGTACGAGGTTGTCAAATATTATAGCCTGTAGTGGGTTGGGCTATATGGGGTACAACTAGTTAGGGTTAGGTTATGTACCCCAATTCTGTCAATACAACGCATTTCGCTGTAGTTCTCATTCTGACATGGTATCAGCAGTAGGTTAGCGCTCCTAGTCCTAGGCCCGCCCTTCCCTACCACTAGGGTTACCACTGCGCCCTGCCAGCCCGCCAGCGCCCTACCCCACGCCCCAGCCGGCGCGCCCCTCCCCTCCCCGCCCTTAGCCAGCGCGCCCGCCAGCCAGCCAGCGCGCCAGCCAGCCAGCGCGCCAGCAGCCTGCGCGCCAGCCAGCCAGCCAGCGCGCCAGCCAGCCAGCGCGCCAGCCAGCCAGCGCGCCAGCAGCCAGCGCGTCAGCCAGCCAGCGCGCCAGCCCGCCAGCGCGCCAGCCAGCCAGCGCGCCAGCCAGCCAGCGCGCCAGCCAGCCTGCGCGCCAGCCCGCTTGCACGCCAGCCCGCCAGCGCGCCCGCCAGCGGGCGCACCAGCAAGCCCGCCGGCTCGCTTGCCAGCGCGCCCGCCAGCGAGCTCGCCAGCGCGCCCGCCAGCACGCACGCCAGCGCGCCCGCTAGCGCGCCCGCCAGCGCGCCACACCAGCGGGCCCCGCCAGCGCGCACGCCAGCGCGCCACGCCCGCCAGCGCGCGCCCTGCTTAGCCGCCCGCCAGCGCGCCGCGCCCACGCGCCACGCCAGCCAGCGCGCTGCGCCGGAGCGCGCCCCGCCAGCGCGCGCCCCGCCGCCCCGCGCCCAGCCAGTGCGCGCCCCCGCCTGCGCGCACCCGCCTCGCACTCACCTCCCTCTCCTCCTCCTCTCGCGGCTGGCGGCCGCTATCACTTGTCCTCGCCCCTCATGGCGACGTCTCGCGTGCTCCGTTTCGACCCTGAGGGGCGTGCGATCGACTTTAGTACCTGGCTGACGCAGGCCCAGCGCCACCTTAGGAGCCAGCGCCAGGATGGCGTGCACCTGTTTGCGCATGCGTCCGGTGCTCTGCCCGCCCCGCCGCAGCCTTCACCGCTGCCCACTTCCCCACCGCCTACTTCCGAGCAGGAGGCTGAGTACCAGCGCCGGTTCCTCGCTCGTGACGTGTGGGAGTCTTGTGACGCTGCTGCCTGCCTCGCCCTGACCGACCTTCTCCCGCCAACTGAGGCTGTCCACTTCACTCAGGTCGAGTCTGCTGCAGACCTTTACACTGCTATTGTTGCTCGCTACTCCACTCCCTCCTCTGCCTCCCTCAGCCGCCTCCTCATCCCCTTTATCTACCCTGACCTCGCCTCCTTTGAGACTGTCGCTGACCTCGCTACCCACCTGCGCTCCCTTGAAGCTCGCTTCAAGACCGCTTGCACTGAGGAACAGCTTGCCCTTGCACCCCCCCCCATGTGGCTCACTATTCACTGGTTAGTCACTCGCCTCCCTGACCGTCTAGCCACAGCCCGCGACGCGCTTCTCCTGAAGCACCCCACTGAGCTTACTATTGATCTTCTTGAGACCGCTCTCTCGAAGATCGAGAGTAACCTCCTCGCTGTTGCCTCCGCCTCTTCCGCGCCTCCTCCTCGTCTCTTTGAGGGGTGTGCGGTGCCACAGCTTCCCACCTTCACTGCCTCGCTTGCCACTGCCGCGTCTTCTGCCTCTGAGGAGACGGCGGCCGTTTCTGTCTCTGGCGGACAGAAACGTGGCAAGTCCGGCAAGAAGGGAGGGAAGGGCGGCGGGGGTTCTGGGGGTGTTGCGGGTGGCGGCGGTGGCGGTAGTACTAGTGGCGGGGGTGGCGGCGGGGGTGACTCGGGACCTGACGGCTCTCCTCTAGACGGTGGTGAAGGGTTTTCGCAGCAGCAGCAGCAGACTCCTCCGCAGCTGCCACCGCCTGGACAGCAGCAGCGGCAGGGACAGCAGCAGCAGCGCCAGGGCCAACAGCAGCGTCCGCCTCAGCAGCAGCCCCAGCGGTGGGGCACTCTGCAGCAGTGGGGCACTCAGCAGCAGTGGGGCCCTTCGCAACAGTGGGCCCCCCCGCAGCAGTGGAGACCTACGGGCCCCCCGAGCACTGGGCGCAGTGGTGCCCCTTCTAGTCGGGGACCCCGCTCGGCCGGCCGCGACGTTGGTCCCTGTGAGTACTGGATCCTGACGGGTCCGCGCAGGGGCACGTACTTGCGGCCGCCCTGACCACTCTGCTGCACGCTGCTTCAGCCGTCTTGACGACCTGTACGTCCTGCACCACGGTCCCTCCGCTCCCCCGCCACCCGCGCTAGGGACCACTCCTTGCTCGTGGTGTTGCTGTGTTTGATATGTCTATGGATGATGCTAGGTCTTATGCCATGTATGCTGATGTTGACTATAGTGCTGTCGGATCTGTTTACTTGCCTGTACCTAGCGTAGGATCTTTGCCTGTTGCTAGAGTAGGTGCTGGTGTAGGATCCTGTCTAGCTACTAG